ATTCATTTTTCACCGGTAAATTAAACCGCTCTTATCTATGGGATTTTAGGGTATATTATTCACTTCTTCGAGCCCATAGTATCGGCTCTTTTGTGGCTATGGACTCGTGGTCTGCTAAAAGTGCGAATTCTTTTTTTTTCTTTTCGGACCTATTAGACTTCTCTCTTTGGAGTTTTTATGAAGAGCTTCTAGAATCTGAAAGAAGAAAAAAGAAGCTGAAAAAAACTGCCTAAAATTTGGAAGAAATATGCGTAGAACACATCCGCCGCACCATCGACTCGCTGAACAAACACATTGAGGCCTGCATTACGACTAGCTACTCCAAATGGCAGCTACTCCAAATTTTCTTTTGCAGATTATAAAATGTCATGGTTCGACGTTTTAAAAAATTAATCAGTTTCAAATTTTCGTGGGCAAAAATGGAGTTTGGACGTGATTTGCAGCGCACTTAATTTTTTGCCACCCTGTATGTACATAACTTCTCCAATCTGTTAAGAGGACTTCGTCCCACAGCGTTTTATATGAGGTCGTAATGATTCTATGTAATCTTCTGATGCAGTCGTTAAAGAAGGCTGTTATGAAGATTTCTGATAGATCAGAGCTATTCACTATAAAATCGAGTGTATCCGGCTTGAATTCAGCGAGGTGTTTAGTGGTCCGGAGCCAATGTGTGGACTCCCGCGCACAAGTCGTCAATGCATTCGCAAGTCGAGTATCGCATCGCAAACCCAAGCGTCAAGTCAAGCGCAATTATCGCAAGAAAATGCAAGTGTTATTACTCTTTTTTAAGACGATGACGACCGTGTGGTATGATGGCATACCACACTTTGCATGCGGCAGACTAGTTTTCCTTAATTTATTTGGTGTTTTCTCCTGTTCCACAACGGTCCATGTACATTATTGAATCCGAAAAACTATTTCTTCATTACTGATAATGAAAACGCTGAAAGGATTGATGCCTATCGATGAGGGACTACGAGAAATGCTGTAGCAGTACGCGGGGCGGTCGCCAGCGTGTCAAATATGAAAGGATGACACTTCTTTTTCCTCTCCTCCCCCAACCTGGATATCAAGTCATGCACAAATTAGGGCTAATTGGTGGCGATCATGCTCAATTCCTCGTTGTTGTTTCCGCTGCTTTGCATTCCAAACGCAATCGACGATATAAAAGCCCTTGGAGCTTCATGTTACACAACTTGGTTTCGTGCTGAACATGATTGCCAGATGTTTTTGCAAGCGAAAAAGTATTCGTATTTCCTCCCTGTAGCTCTTGAGAATCAAGCACGGATATCTTACGATGCTGATGTGTAAAATATGATCCATCCTTTCAAGCAAAGTAGATCAAGTTCAACGTCCCTGCAGGATTTTGCGATTAATGCTGACGTGAGAACAGTATCTTCGTAAGTACTAAATAGGTAAACGGTATTTACTCAGTTCATGGCCCTCGTAGCCCCCCTGGGTGTGCAAAGATCCCATTCAACGAAGACAACGATCGGCGTGGCAATGCATGGAGCATCAGGGAATTGCCAGCACAAACATCCCATTCTTCTTTCTTAAGAATTTTTGACAGTTGACATTTATTTTCTCTTTTCATCTGACATCGACTGAGAAACGGGTCATGGTCTGGAACCATCGGAAAATTACTGCTATGTTCTTCCGATAAGTTCTCGCATACGTGTTGAAATCACTTTCCCATCGCATTTGGGGTCCTCCAGCTGATCTGCTTTTGAACGATTTCTAATTCATCACTCGTATTTCCATCGTGTTGGCTCTCTTGTCATCAATTTGACCGCGAAGATCCATTTGCGCTCTCTGTCTTCCATTTAATAGCTTTTTACGAAGTGGAAGGCCTAAAATTTGGCGTCCCATCTTGCACACACGGTCTTCTGCTTTCGCTAATGCCCTGCTTTGCAATCATACCGTAGCGCAAGCATCACGCAGATGTGAAGAAAGCGCCTTTGGTCCCAAGCAATGCCCTTCGACTTTTCAATAAATTTCGAACTGTTCTTGGTACTCCATACCGAGCTGATCCTCCTGCTGATATCGCGCTTATGTTCTTGGGGAATGCTCAGGAAATGACCCAAATACGCAGACGCGATAACAGTTCGACTACTATTCCTTTCGCCAAAAACTGTTGTTCGTTATGATTAAGGGGTATCCGGAGTTGTGTTGGGGTTCACTTGAAGTTCGGTTATGGCTTTGTCGCTATGATGAGTTTGTAAGGCATGGGTTTTGTTGCAAGCCACTGCAGGTGGGAAAGACAGGAAAAGAAGAAAACATCGGTGTGGGCGAGATAGTTGAGAAAATGTCGTCCAATCGGGGAGCCTTAGAACCTCCAGTTAATTCCATCAAGGCTCGAGCGGAGCGTCAGAAAGAGGAGCGGTGGAGGCAACGAATAATTATGCGCAAACATAAGTGAGCAAAACTCACTCAATGTCGATCTCCATTTCTATATTACCCGAAGCCGAAACTACCGTCCAGCGGCACACAGCTGATTTATCACCCGAAGTGTACACGTTTACCAGGAACTTCTGGAGTGCTCTCCATATGGCATTGAACACGATGAGATGGTGTCAAAATCCCTTTTGGTAGTCAGCAAACACCATCTAAAGCGCGTCCCTGCATTCTTGCCATTTATTCATTAGTAAATTGACGGGCATAATATGGTCACGGCCACGTTTGAATCCAGCGTCTTCACCTAGAATGATCTTCACGACTACTTCTTGCACTCGATGGGCCCAGGTGAGAATTCTGAGGACAGCTGTTAGCAAGAGATGGTCTGTTTTTGCTTATACAGGGGGGGGGCAAAAAAAAGAGTCACTCCTACTCACATTCAAAACAGAATTAATTACACTTTGCAAACCAAACCGAATGAGCTCAATTGCATATTGAAGAGCACATTCTATTCTATCAAAAATTACATAACAGCCTTCTACACCGACGACATCAGAAGATTTTCCCACGGAAACATGGTTCGCGGTACGAGCTCAACGAGGTCGTCGAGAAACCATAGACGATTACGACGTCTCTGAAACGCTGGTCAAAAGCCATCTTGCATAGTCAGAGCTAGTGTCTCTAAGAAGCCATTCACCAGTTATCCGATTGAAGAAATTATGTAGCAGCTTCAGAATGGAGCGATTATGGTAGGCCTCCTTGAGCTCGACGGTGATGACAGATGACGTCATATTCTGGAGACGGTGAAGCAGCGAAGGTGGGCCTGATTCTGCTTATGGGGGGACATCTAAGGAATATTTGCCGTATAACTCCCAATAACAGCGGCATCCTTTGCGACGAAAAGTTTGATGATATGCGCCATGGCAAAGTGACTCTTTTTTTTTGCCCCCCCCCTGTAGAGGATCACCTTTCCTATGGAAGAAGATGTTAGTGGACCTAACGAAGGTTTCTGGGAAGCTGTTCAGCTCGATGTGTTAATTGAGATCTTTAAAAGGGTCGTTCGCACACCTTAACCGGATGGAGTCCCATCAGCGTCCAGTGCAATGTTTCCACGAATTCTACTGCATGTTGCGCGAAGTGGATCTGCTATGTTCGGGCGTCTCAGGATACCACCCACTGGGAAGAGGAAATACCGTTACAGGTCCGGTAGAGCTTGGTAGAATGCTGTCGGGTACCCGACCAGGAGGCCCGTCGCGCGGCAAGAAGGCAGAGTCAGCGGACGAGTCGCAGCGCGTGATGTGCGATGTAGGACGTACAATGGTACATTCTATTTAACTTGACGCGAAATCACTACAGTGCGCTGCGACTCGTCCGCTGACTCTGCCTTGTTGCCGCGCGACGGGCCTCCTGTCGAGAACAGAAACCGTCGGTATGTGTTATGTCGACCATGCCTTCAATTTGTCTATTGCATGCCATAAGCATACTAGTACTGCGGGTTCTCAATTTTGCAATTCCAAAGCTCGTTGTTGATGGGCTAGCGAGCTAAACATAATTGACGGTGTTTTCAGTGCGCAAGTTGATTAACGCTCAAAGTGATTCTATAGCCTCATGGAAAATTCTTTGAACAGTTTCAACCTGATTAGAATCCTGCTGATGAAACTTGTCGTTCAAAATTGAACGAATTCTGCCACAAGCAAAAAGAGATGAAGTAACGTCAGACAGCTTCAACTGCTTTGCAAAAAGCGGAACTATAGAAAAATTTCAAGTTTCCATTTCCTCACTTAATTACCTCATATTGCATTGAGATATTCCGTATACCCGTCCTCATTTCTGCTCCGGGAATATATATACCGCAATTATGATATGCATATTGAATGCTTTGGTGGGCCAAATGAGTTAGTATGCAAGGCTATGAGTTACTCTGCAGTAGCGACTTGCTTGTGGAATGATTGCTATTCTTCCTCTCCAAATGCTTGCCTATATTTCATGGCCATGCCCCCCCCCCTCCCTCGCATAATCTATTATATATAGTTTATTGTTCCTCTTTTGATCAGTGAAATTGTTCAAAATAATGGCAAGCTTGCATAGAGGTGCTGAATTTTCATCTCGATCTGCTACCGTTGTTGTAGAAATGTTTCGGGGTTCTATTCGATTTAGCAGAAAATTAAATAAGTGAAATAATACGTAACAGAAGTTGAATTTGTACTGAGATGCACATGGACTGCAGTGATTTTGTAGTAGGTGCTATTTCAGACCCTTCTTAAAGCAACAGTCCACGCAGGGTGGGCGTGGTTGGAGACGACGGCAATCCCCTCGGCCGATTTCCTTTTTGGAGCTATACAGCCCCAGCCATGAACATAAGAAGTGTTAGTGA